GGAGGAAGAGGATAAAAGAGCGAGATGGAGGAATGGAGAGCGGGGGTGGATGGAAGGAGGAATAAGAAAGGGAGGGAATGAAGGGACTGAAGCATGGAAGAAGGGAGAACTTCCTAGACCTCCACCGACCTACTCCTGCGTCTCGACAAACAGCAATTCAATTAAAACAACAAAATAACAGAAGACCACCAACAGAGTAATTAAGTATTCACACGTCTTAATGTTTCCACGATGAAGGTATCCGCTCTTTACCCTCTCTTCCCCTTCCTTTCTTCATCTTCTTCCCTCTCCCCCCCTCTAACTTCCCCTTCCTACCTCTCCCTCCCCCCCCTTTTCCCCTTTTCCCTTAGCTCAACCGTCTTTCCCTCTCCTCCCACTTCCCCTTCCACTCACTCTCTTCTCCTTCTTCCCCCCCCCCCCCCTCTCTCTCTCTCTCTCTCTCCTCTCTCTCTCTCTCCTCTCTCTCTCTCTCTCTCTCTCTCTCTCTCTCTCTCTCTCTCTCTCTCTCTCTCACTCTCACTCACTCACTCACTCACTCACTCACTCACTCACTCACTCACTCACTCACTCACTCACTCACTCACCTCACTCATTCTCTCTCACTCTCACTCTCACTCTCACTCTCACTCTCACTCTCACTCTCACTCTCTCTCTCTCTCTCTCTCTCTCTCTCTTTCCTCCAGGAATAACGTGCAATCTATATCTAAGAGGAAGGAGAGGTGCCACACGGCGTCCGGAGTGGCTGCGTATCTGGCCCTGGAAGGATCGCCCCAGAGCACTAAGTGCCAGAGCACAAAGGGCCAGTGCCAAGGGGAGGGAGGGCAGTGCCAGGAAGTGCCGCCGCCGCCGCCGCCCCTCCTCCTCCTCCTCCTCCTCTCTTCCTCCTCATTTTTTTCTTGCCATTCTCTTTTTTCACTTCCTCCTTTTTACTTTTTACTTTTTCTTCTTTATCTTTTCCTCCTTCCTCCACTTTCACCTCGTCCTCTTCTCCTTCCACCTTCTCCTCTTCCTCTCCTCATCATATCCTCCTCATCCACCTCCATTTCCTTATGCATCTCCACTTCCATCTCTCTTCCTTTCCTTTCCATCCTCATCCTCTTCTCTCCTCTTCCTCCCCTTTTCCTCCCCTCGCCCTCACCTCCTCCCTCCCTCTCCCCTCCTCCCCCCTCCTCCCTCCCTTCCTCCACCCCACCCTCACCTCCCCCTCCTCCTCCACATCCTCTCCTCCTACTTTCCCCTCCTCCCCCAGGCCTCTCCTCCTCTCCTCCTCCCCTCCTCCTCCACCACCACCACCACCACCACCTTCCACCACCGTCCACCTCCACTCCACCCCACCTCCACTCCAACCTCCACCTCCACCTACCTCCACCTCCCTCCACCTACCTCCCCTCCTCCTCCTCCTCCTCCTCCATCCTCCTCAGACAGCACAGGGTAATGGCGACTACAACGCC